CCTCAGCTGCCCCTGCCACCCCTGCCACCTCAGCCTGGCAGGCTGAGGCGATCGCTTCTCCGGAATTAAGCGTTTGGTGGGGGGTTTTTTTGTTACTGTAAGTAGATGAAGCGTTAGCTGTTTTTAAAATGAGAGCCAATAAATGTCAGGCTGTGGTTTTTCTAACCCCCAGAGCCAATAAATGTCAGGCTGTGGTTTTTCTAACCCCCAGAGTTGGAGCATGGCTGAAACATCCATTTATGGCCGGGCTTACGGATTTTATCCAGGCTGTAAAGTTTCTAAAACAAGAATCTTTAACTCTGGTGGTGGAGGTCTGCCCGCGAGCCCAGGTGGCTGCCTGACCTACTGCAAGCTTGAACATGTGGCCAATGTTCTGATGCCAGCGCGTAATTATAATGGACCGGCTTACTGCTGCTCTGGCCGTCACTAAATGCCAGAGCCCTTGACAGGACAGCGTACGAGGAGGTGGCTTTGGCTGCTCGGTGCTGCTGGGCCCAGGGAGGCGGTGGGAAAGCTGCCTGCCCGGCCACTGCTCCTCGCTTGGAATGGCGATTGAAAACGGGAGCCGAGCAGGTGACAGCGGTGGGGGCAGGGGCTGCTCCGCCACGCAGCTCCTTCTGGAAAGGCATTCATCTGGCTGAACCATGCAGTTTGGTTTTGAGGGGTTTTTTTGGTGCCTTTTTTGAGACAAAGCAAAATTCCTGGAAGAAATTCACCTGCCCTTTTCCACCTGCCAGCCCTCCCTGCTCCCCGCAGGGCCCAGGGCTCCCTGTTCTCCAGCTCTGAGACCCCCCCTTCGGAGGGCGTGCGGGGAGGGGGCTTTGGCTGCTCGGTGCTGCTGGGCCCAGGGAGGCGGTGGGAAAGCTGCCTGCCCGGCCACTGCTCCTCGCTTGGAATGGCGATTGAAAACGGGAGCCGAGCAGGTGACAGCGGTGCGGGCAGGGGCTGCTCCGCCACGCAGCTCCTTCTGGAAAGGCATTCATCTGGCTGAACCATGCAGTTTGGTTTTGAGGGGTTTTTTTGGTGCCTTTTTTGAGACAAAGCAAAATTCCTGGAAGAAATTCACCTGCCCTTTTCCACCTGCCAGCCCTCCCTGCTCCCCGCAGGGCCCAGGGCTCCCTGTTCTCCAGCTCTGAGACCCCCCCTTCTCCTTTCCCTTTGGCAAATCCAGCTTGCCAATGAGCCCGGAAATTCTGTCACCCGAGGCGAAGGGTCCTGAGCTGCCCCTTCGAAGTGTCCCCGCGCGTCCCTGCTGCCGGGGCTGGCGCTGGGTCACCCTCCGGCATCGCTGCCCGACAGCAGCACCGCTTGCTCTTCCCGTCGCTCCGCTGATTCCGCTGCTTGGGGTGGGCAGGCAGGCTGGGAAAAAAGAAGATGGGGAAAAAAGATGATTTTAGTCCCTGCTAGTGCACAGGCAGTGCGGGGCGCAGGCAGAGCCCTGGGTCCGTGTCGGTGCCGTGCTGCGGACACCCGGTGTGGGCCA